TGTGGAGCAGAGGGACAGCCAAGTGCAGGGAGGGGATCACTGGGATGACAGGAAACTGGGCTCTTCTCAGCTGAGAAATAAGCTGAGATGTAGGACACATGTTTTCATTTACCCCAAGGTCAAGGACCCTAGGCAGGTGACCAAGAAACATCCCTTTAACAGCCCACATGGCAAATGTAGGGGTGTCAGCACTTGGCCTTGGCACAAGGTCAGCCTGACCTCTAGGCTCTGGGCCACACGCTGCTCACTGCTTGCACAGGCAAGTCCCTCTGCTACCCTGGACTTAAGTCTCCCACTGCAAAACAGACAGACAGACAAAGGGGGCAGTACAGTGAGCTCTTTAACTCTGTTCTCTGCCCACCCCACACTCCAGTTACCGATGCCATGGGAGACACGGCATCTCAGTGGCTAGTGAGGAAGAATGTCCCCAGCTCTGACTGTGCCAAGCATCCTGTTCCCAGCCGTGTGGCAGTTCCAGTCTTGCCCCAAGCTCTGCCCAAGAGAAGCATCCCTATCCTCCAGCTCCCCCTGAGCCTCAGAGGCCAAGTACTGAAGAGGATAGAAGGAGGCCTGAGGCTCTGTATCTCCTTCTCTGTCTTCTTCTCTCTTCTCTTCCAGTGTCTGGGAGGGCCTTGCTGATGGCAGATGGAGGGAGCCACTGTAAAGCCCTTTAGATACTCCAGAGCCAGAGTTAGGCAGGGGAGTCCTGCAGGCAAGATATGACTGTGTCACCATAGACCCAGAGTCGAACTGTGTCTCCACAACCTCAGGCAAAGCTACCTGCCCACAGGAGTTAAAAACAAAACTGTACAGTTTCATTGTTCCAACATATCTTCAGTGGTTACTGTGAGAACTGGGGGGAAAGCCTTGCTCCTGGATGTAGCAGGTGACAGGGGAGGGGCAGGAGGAGCCCCTGAGCCCCACACCTCCTGGCTCTGCTCACTAGGTTCCTCTACCCAGCGAGCACTGGATCCGCCCAGCCCTAACATCACCTCCTGCAGGAAGCCACCCACACACTGGCCAGTGTTGCTCTGAGGTCCCATCCTGTAGGTGGGGACTGATCATCCATCAGCCTTCCTTCTGTACAGACAATGTCACCCAGACTGTGACTGTGGGAGGGGGAGACCCCAGGGAAGCTCAGTCCCATCCCTGATCTACACAGCTGAGGCAATGCAGTGGGAAGGCACCCAGGGCCTGAGAGTGAGTGGACTGGAAATCAAGGGGCACCCTGCAGCCCACCTAGTCACAACACCCTGGCTTGTCAGTCACTGCTGCCACCTCATTGCCAAGCCCTCCCCTTCAGCTGGGCTCTGCCTTGATTTCCCCACTCACTACTGTTTCTAACCTCAGTTCTCATGGGCAGACCTGAGGCCCTGCCACATCTAGCCAGACCTGCCACCAAATGGGACCTCCATAGTTAATAAATAAAAGACACAGGCCACCCAGCCAAATTTGAATTCCAGATAAACAATGATTTTTTTTTAAAAAAGTATGACTATAGTCTGTGAAGTAATTGGGGTAAACTTATACTTCATAAAAAATCATTATTCAGTATTTGGGTGACAATGAAATTTTTCTGGGCTATTCTATGTGGATGGCCTGCCTGAGCTCAGCTGGAGGGAAAGAGACTTTCTAAACCTCAACACGAGGTGGCCAGGGACACATGACCCAGTACACTCAGCTTCTTCTGATCGGTCCTGTCTCTAACCAGGGTCTGAGCCTGGCCTGAGTGATAGGGGCTGAGTCAGCTTGAGTGTGACAGGACAGAGCTGCCTTGACTACCACCACCCTGCCAACACTGCCGGCAGTGCCGGGAGCCACAGCCAAGCCATAGGCACCTGTCCCTGCCTGCTCACTGTGCCTGGCTCAGCAAATGCAGCATGCTTCAGTCCCAGTGGGCACGGTGGAGAAGCTGCTGTGTGCCTACTTCCTAAGTGAGGAAACAGGCCTCTAGCAGCTAGTGACTCTAGGGCTGATGAGCAGCAGAGGCAGGCTATGTACTCAGCCCAAGCTTCTCCACTGGCCACCATTCCTCCCTCAACTCATCCTCCTGAGTGTAACCTGACAGGCCTCCCACCTCCCTATGTGGATGCAGCCTGCCCTCCGCCATGCCCACTCAGTGATCCGCATCCTTGGCTTCCCTCTGAACCTCTTTCCGGCACTCCCTTCTGCTCAGAATGAGCCTCACACAGGATTGCCTGTCCTGCATTGGCCCCTGGCTGTAGACCTTCCTGGGGACCTCTACCTCAGGGTTTCAGTGTTTGGGCTGTGGGGACACTTTCTGACTTAGTGAAAGCTATTCAGTATTCTGGGGAGTGGTGACAAGGTGCTTAGAATACACGACCCTTAGGGACAAAGCTTCAGGGGTCTGCTGCAATGGCAAGGAATTGGAAAAGAGTGTGTACAATGGCCAGGTCTGTGATCAATTTAACCCCCAGCTATGAATAGCGGTTGGATAACGATCTGTGCATATTATTAAAGATCCAAGTGTGACAGACAAAGCTTTGAAGCAATTAAAGTACAGAAAAATATTTAATGACTTCAGGGTAAGGATGAGTTTTAAAACAAGACAAAATGAGTACATATACAGAAAAATTAATCAATAGGAGTCTATCAAAATTTAAAACTTCTGTATGAAAAAGTATCATACACATGACTGAAAGATAAGTGACAAAGTGAGACAGCTTTTTCAATACACAGTAAATAACAGATCGATATCCAGAATGCATACCTAGGGTGTACAAATCAATAAAGACACAGACAACTCAGTAGAGAAAACAGGCAAAGCATATGAATGGGCAATTCACCAAAGAGGCAGTCTAAATCACACTGTTAAAACATTGTTATAGTTTATGTCAAGATGTCTCCCAAGAGCCTCATGCACAATAAGTGGGCCTTGGCATGGTGATGACTGGATTATGGGTGTTTATAGCTGACCTGCTATTAGAATGTAAGGCCTGGTCAGAAGAGGCAGGTCGCTGAGGCGTGGTCTGGAAGGATTTATCTCTCTCCCCAGCTCCTCCTGTTTCTCTGCTTCCCCATGCCTTGAGAAATTTTCCTCTCTCCAGGTCCTTTCACCATGCCTTCCTTTCTTGGAGCCAACAAACTATGGACTAAAAAATGTGAGCCAAGGTAAATCTCTCTTCCTTTAAGTTACAGGTATCAGGTATGATGTCCCAGAAACAAGATGTAACTAAGACAAATATGCTCACTGATAAGTGACAGTAGAGCCAGTACTCAAAAGCTGTGGAGAAGGTAGCTCAATGGTGCTATGACTGCCTGGCAAGCACAAGGTCCTGAGTTCAATCCCCAGTACCAGAAAGAAAAGAGAGCTGGGTTCAATGGCGTATACCTGTAATCCAGCACTCTAGGAGGCTGAAACAGGACAATCAAAAGTCTGAGCCCAGTTTGAACAATTTAGTGAGACTCTGTCTTGTGATAAAAAGTAAAAAAAAAAAAAAGGCTGGAGATATAGCTCAGTGCAAAGGCCTTGGGTTTAATTGTCAGTAACACACATACACACACACACAGAGTATTCAGGAACTATCACAACACCTATCTAGATGGCACAAATCCAGCCTGCAGTCTGATATCCCAGTGCAGATGTGGGGTGTGGGGTGTAGGACCATGGGAGGAGGCCCTAGAAAGCATTTAGCACCATCAAGTTGGTCAGGAGCCTGGTCCCATTCCCTGTGGGTTCCCTCACTGGGTGCTGCCATACAGAAATAAGATGGAGCGCTGTGCATCATGGCCAGGGGTCTGGCCCCAGGATGGACTTCTCAGACATATCCTGGCTGCTTGGACCTGGTCAGTGTGTGTTCCTTCTCTGTGCCTCAGTTTCCCAAGCTGCAAAGTGGGCACTTTCCTTTCAAGCATGTTTGTGTGAATTCTCTTTAAATTACCAGAGTAGTACATGGTACATGATAAGCCAGACAACAGCCAGTCTTCTTGTGATTTTATTTGTGACAGAAAACACTGAGCATGAGCCAAAAACCCATGAGAAATGAACAGATATTCATACACTGAAATACTTCCATACAACTTGATGCACAGAAGCACTTACATTTACTTAGATCTGTCTTGTCAACATGAATAGATCTTCAAAATAAAGTGTTAAGTAAAGAGAGGAACTACACAACATACTTACGCTAAGATCCCATTTATGTAAATGTTTAAACACACAAGAAAATAGAACATATTGTTTATGGTACTTGTGAATAGGGAAGGTATAAAACATGGACTAATTGCTCCCTAATTCATGACAGTCAGCTGCTTCTGGGAGGGGCTTCCTCACAGGGGTGGCTGGACACAAGACCAATGACAAAGTTCTTTCTGGCTTTCCAGGTTTTAGCGTGGTCCATAATCTCAGTTTTAGGCAAAGGCCCTAGGAGATATCCACTCCACTACACGTAAGAACACCCATCTGGGCCTGGCCCCCTCCTCCCTGGCATCTGCCACCTCCTAGGCCAACACTCTGCCCCCTCAGTGTCCCTTCATTGCTGTCCCCTCTCCCTGCAGGCTCATGCCCACGGTTCTCTCATGTCTTAGTCACCTTCTTTGTCATCAGGAAAAAATACCTGACACCCACAACTTGAGGGAGGAAAGGTTCATTTGACTCACAGTTTGTAGAGGTTTCAGTTCATAGACAGCTGGCTCCAAGGCAGGGTGGCATGGCATGGAGCAGGGTGGAAGGACAGTTGCTCATGGAGTGGGAAAGGAAGATAAACCCTCCCAGGCCATGGCCCTGTGACCCACCTCTTCAGACCAGACTCCACCTCCTAATAGCAAGTCAGTTATCAGCCCCCATAATCCAATCACCTTTCAAAAGACCCACCTATGAGTGTGTGAGACTCTGCGGGGACATCCAGATTTAAACCACAACGTCTCACTGTTAGGTCCTGTCCAGAGTCAGCCCTTCTCAGGGTGTACGTTCTAACTCGTGATTCATGGAGCTCTTTGCCTAAGTCACTCATTGGCCGGTTCACTGGTTTCTCCCCTAGACTGCCATCTTTGAAGACCTGGGTGTCCTTGTGTTTCTATGCAACTCTCAGCATGACAGCCCCATGGAGTCAGAGACCTGAAGCCCAGTGCCCTGGTAGAGACTTCCAAAGAGGAGGTAAAATGATGGGGGACATGGGGTGGGAGGGCTATGGTAATGACAGCAAAGCTGCAATGTTGATGTCCAGGCTCTCTGGTGACTGCCAATGGTGCTGGCATTAATGAAAGGTGACAGTGAGGTATAGATGCCAGCCTCAACCTCCCCAGCCTGTCCAGTCACCAGGGCTCACACCCACTGTACTCATTGTGGCTGCTTTCTTATTGCAGGAACAGCCACCCTGGTTCTTCCCAAGCACATAGCAGCCCCTCTGAGTCCAGGGCTGTGGCTGATACCCGGCATGCATCCTCTGCTCCCACCCAGGCCCCCCACTCCACAGCTCTGCAGGAGCTGCCAGCCCCATCACCTTTTAAGCCTCAGAAGCATCCCTGTGTAGCCACTGCAGCCAGTGGCACCTCTTAGACCCACCATGGCCTCCCAGTCCCCTCCCCACAGCACCAATAGTTTGTTGTTGGGCCACAGGCTCCATGACCACTTCCTTCTGTGAAGCTGAAGGAATCATAGTGAAGCCAGGAGCAGGACAAAGAGATCGTTGTGAGTGGCAGGGACAGGGCACAGAGGGACCAAGCCCAGGCCTGTGATAAGGAGGCCACCTTTGTCAGGCTTCTTTAGAGGGCATCAGACACTTGCCTGAGGCTTATAAGCTGCACCCTTGTTTCATTTCACTCTATTGCGATAGCAACAGGGCTCAGAAAAAGCAATGTGTCTGATCTCACAGGCATCTGGAGCCTTTGGGTGGAGAAGGGAACAGGGACTGCTGGTGGTGCTCTTGGGTGTGCCCTCTACTCATCCATTACAGCCATACCACAGCCCCATGGAGACCACCACATCCACTGCTCCCTCAGGCAAGATGTCAGCTCCTACCATTCATCTTCATGGGGCAAGGTCCCTTGAAGGGCCACAGTCAGGGACAGGGGAGCAATGGCCACCTACACTGCACAGGGAGGGTAGGCCAGGCTCTGCTGGTGTCACCCTGATGTCCCCAGCACCAGTGATGGCCTGAGTCTTGGCCACAGGCCACTGTTCTTGCTCAAACAGCTCCTTCTCCTTTCTCTCTGTGATATTCTACAAGGACCTCATACTACCTTGCTGCAGATGACAAGTCGTAACCAGTAACTATGCATATGTCCGTCTGTCAGCTTGCATTATCCTCTCCTTCCAGACTCATCCTTGCCCTGCAGGGCGTCACCTACTTCTTTGTCATAAGAACCCAGTCTTGGCTCATGTCACATAAAGGAAGTGCCCCTCAAGGTGCTAGGATGTGACTATGAGTGACAGGTCACAAAGGAGCCACATTTGAACCATCCCTGCCAAGCACACCAAGTTTCATGGGGCACATCCTCAACTCAGTGGCCTTTGTGAGTAGCACTACATCCTGAGTCCCACAATGGAAGCTGAGACAGCAGGCTCCTTGAGGCCACTCTGCCTCAATGTCCCTCCTCATTTGTGTGTGCAGCCTCCATTGTGCCTCCTGCAAGTAGCTTGCTTCTTTGGGTTCATGTGCTTTATGTGTTTAAAACACTGGCCTTGTGCACAGAATCCGGTCTGTCTCCCATCATTGGAGAGTCATCTTTTAACTAGTCACTGGCCACAAGCTCACAGCCAGTATCAGGTCTAAATCCCTCAAACAATTTCCCCATGCCTCAATTTCCCCGTGCAAATGCTAATGCTGTTAAAAACCTGTGCTCTGGCCCCAAACTTCAATGGTTTGGGTACTGTGTAGGTAACAACCTTGCAGCCAGAGCCAAAGCTGAGGATAGGCAGGATACAGATGGACAGAAGGGATGTGGCAAGCCATACCAAAGACAGAACTGTTCCTGGGGTCCTCAGCCAGACCAAACCAGCAGAACCTTTCCTAGACTTTCTGGTGTCCAGGCAGACTCCCAGGGAAAGAGATGGCCTGATAGGGGATGGACCAGACTCACTACCACCTGGGCCTCTAAAAAGGGAGATACACAGTTGAAGTGAAACCTACATATGGGCACAAAAGGATCAAGTGGCAACAATCAGTGCCCCCAACTTCACCCTCCTACTTTTCTGTGCCTGCCTCTGTGGGGATAAGGACAAAAGAGGGGAACTATGACACCCTCTGTGCATCAGTGTGGCTCACTGGCACTGCTGGGGCTCAGCTGTGATGGCTGTAGTGACAGTGGACTAACAACCTGCGGCACCTCTCACTAGGGTTGCCCTTGTTGTGACAGCAACTCCAGGGACCATGACCATTGCCTAGGACTGGCTGAGGAGTCCAGCCAACTGTGTCTCTGCTCCCAGCCTTGCAGAGCCCCCACCTGGGCAGGCTCCCCTTCTCCCTCCCTCAACCCAAGATCCAGGAGCATATTAATGGTCCTGAGTCTCCCAGACTCAAGCAGCCACCCCCTTGAATCCTATCTTTCATGTGTGCTTAGCCTGCAGCTTGGTCCTCCAGCCTGTGACCTCAAGATCTATCCCTGGGTTCAGAGCTGACCCTCACCATCAGACCAGCTTATCTTGTACCACTGAGAAGTCTCTTGGACTTCCTCGCTCCCCAGCTACCTTCTGCTCAGAGATGTTGACCTGCTCACAAGATGATCCTGATGGATAGGCTCCACCCTGGACCTTAGCTAAGGGACCCATTAAGGCAAATTTAGCAGTGTGTGAAGATGATCCAGATAACAGCAGAGACCTGGGAGGATCATTACCTGAAAATGGAGGGAAAGTCCAAACTAATTAACAGATAAGGATTTCTACCCTACTCTCCCTGAGCAGCTCTTGTCACTGATGCAATCAAAGTAGCTGCCCTCTCAGGGAATGAACACCACCACCCCCAGTGAAGAGCTGCCATGGAAAACACTGAGGAACTAATAGACATCCAGAGACTTCTTAGTACCAGACACTTATGTACAATATTGACAGTCACCTCCATCACCATCATAACCACAACAGTACTGCCTACTATCACCATGCCTACTGTTATCAAACCTGTTATTACCATCAACAGCATCCACAGGACCATCATCATTGTCATAAGCACCATCATCATCATCACCAACACCACCCCCTTCATCACCATTCACCACCATCATCACCACCACCACCACTAACTTCATCAACCCCACTATCACCATCACCATGACCACTATCACATAAACATCATCTGAGGATTCTCACTGAGTCATTCAGCACGATTACAACTATTATCAGAAATATCACTATCACCACTATGTCCCTTGGACTTAACAACTTCTGATACAGACCAGATTCCCAACAAACAGTTGTAGAGATCAGCTACCCTCACCTCCATCACCACCCTCCCAATTACTGGTCATTCTTTCACTCTGGGTCAAATTTTCAATGCTTCTGCCAGGTTGGTACTCATAGCCAGGTCCTAGTCACTCCTGGTCACTTGTACAGGAAAGATGGCCACAGTCATACTTATCACCTGATGCAGAATTTGCAAACAAAAACAAAATTTTGCCAGATGTTTGTTGTGAACCCAATTATTTGTAAAGCATTAATGAACCAAGGTACCACTGTACTAATCTGTTCAGAAATCATGCTCTCCTTCACCTAAACTTTGCAGATGCTTTATTTCTGGTGAAACTGTAAACCTTTCAAATTATTTGCTCCTGATTCTCACTATAGATCTGTATAAGAGCTGTCAGAAGCACTTATGCCACTGTCTAAATGTTGGACTGCCTTGAAACTTCCTTTACCAGGTTAATCAGTCTGCCACACTTAATCTCAGTGTCCCACAAAGCCTAAAGACATAGGTAAAATGTAGAAACATTTTCTGCCAGAGTATAACACACATGTCCTATAGTCCAATTGCCAATAGAGTTCTTGTTACCAACTGAATAAACTGAGCCTGGTCTTTACTGTCCACATTCCTATCAGTATTCTTGTTTGCTATGCTCTGATCAGTATCTCACATCATACACTGCTCACAACATTCTCTGGCTTTGGTCTGCCTTTTCAAACCTGCTAACCAGTTCCACCAGCATCTGAACTGTATGGTCAGGTACAGTCACAACAACAACCTTACTTTCAGTACCAATATCTGTTTTAGTCACTCTTCCATTAATGAGACCAAAATACTCAATACCCACAATGGGAAAGAGTAAAGGCAAATTAGCTCATAGATTCTGGTGCATTTGATTCAAAGCCATTCATGGCAGAAGAACATGATGGAGCAAAACTACTTATTTTATGACAGCAAGGAAGGGGGAGGAAGAGAGAGAGAGAGAAAGAAAGAGAGAAAGGAGAAGAAGAAGGGGAAGAAGAAAGGGGGGAAAGGAAGGGAAAGGAAGGGAAGGGAAGGGAAGGGCAGCGAAGGGAAGGGAAGGGAAAGGAACTCAGGACAGAAATACAACCTTCCAAATCACACTTCCAGGAGCCCACCCCTTCTGACTAGGCCCTGTCTTTTCTATACAGTTGCACATATCTCTACCTCAAATACCAGGACCATGGGGTTTCACTTTTATTTTAGGCAAGCAAAAGTGGGGCTCAACCTACAGAGCAGGAGGTACATGGAACAGGCAGACATCAGATATGGTTTGGGAGAACAACAGTGGGCAGGGGAGACAGGGCATCCCAGAGGTCAAGGATGAGAGTCCTCAGTCCTAGTGACACATATCTTTCTAATTTGGCCTCTCCTTTCATGAGCCCACTCAATCAGCTCAGCCACCACTGTGGAGAAGGATCTGAGAAAAGGAATTTTGGGCTCCCTTTACCCTGCCAGCATTGGTAGGGACAGCAGAACACACCCTTCCCTGACAAAATCCCATATCAGTACTGCTGCGTGACTCCATGATCCAGGCCTCTCCTTCCGGTGGGATAGAAGAGATGGGGTGTGACAGATATGTCACTACCACCCTGTGAAGGGACCTTCTCCATGTTTTTCAACATAATGGATGCCTTGGTACATGCCCACACTATTCTCATTTTTAAGTGGCATCTTCCAACTGTGCCATTACTCTTGGAGTCTAATCTAAACTGACAGCCACTCTGGAAAGAGTGCCCCA